GGAGATGGCACGGAGACATGAGAAGGGGTTGTGTTTCTGGTGTGAAGAAAAGTACACGCCGGGACATCGGTGCAAGCAGAATTACTTGATTGAGTTCGTGGACTCGGATGAGGAAGAGCCGGTGATCGAGGAAGAAAGGGAGGTCGAGGTGCTCAATGACGAGGCCGAGATCTCAGTCCATGCGATGGCGGGCACTAAAGGCCCGAGGACTATGAAGTTCCCAGCGTGGTTGAAGGATCATCGGGTTACGGTACTCGTGGACAATGGGTCGTCGCACAATTTCATTAATGCGACTCTCTCGCACAAACTCAAGTTGCCCATGACCACGATTGAGCCGTTCGAGGTTAGGGTGGCGAATGGCGAGCGCTTGCGGTGCTCAGAGATGTACCAAGGCGTGCCGATCAAGTTTCAAGGAGTGACGTTGAAGGCGGATTTGTTTGCCTTACCTTTGGTGGGACCGGATGTGGTGCTTGGGGTGCAATGGCTCGAGGGACTAGGATATGAGACGACTAATTACCGGAAAGGTGTGATGAAGTTCGAGGCCGGTGATCAGCTCGTTATCTTGAAGGCTAGTGAGGGAGCAACCAAGAAGGTTGGTCTAAAAAACATCGAGAAGGTGTGGCGAGGTGGCGGACAGTTGTATGCTGTCGTGGTCGAGCCAACAGACAAGGACGCGGAGGTTGTCGAGGAGTTCGACCAAGTGGTCGAGGAGAGGCAGCGCGAGGTGCGTGACTTGCTCGAGGAGTTTGACCAGGTCCTCGACGAGCCCAAGGGACTACCGCCACACCGAGAGTTCGACCACCGTATACCTTTGGTCGAGGAAGGTCGAGCAGTGCACGTGCATCCGTATCGATACGCACACTTCCAAGAGACGGAGATCGAGCGGCAGGTGGGTGAGATGCTCGAGTCCGAGCTCATCCAGTATAGCTCGAGTCCGTTCTCGTCACAGGTGTTGCTCGCAAGGAAGAAGGACAGAACTTGGTGGTTCTGCACGAACTACCGCGCTCTCAATGCGGCTACTGTGAAGGATCGCTTTCCCATTCTGAGCGTCGACGACATGCTGGACGAGTTGGGTGGCGCGCGTTACTTCTCTAAGCTCGACCTACGCGTGGGCTACCACCAGATCAGGTTGGCCAAGGACGATGTGCCCAAGACGGCTTTTCGCACGCACCAAGGGCACTACGAATATCTCGTGATGCCTTTTGGTTTGTGCAATGCGACGTCGACATTTCAGTTTG